GATTTGATGATGATTAAGGCAGAGGTTTAGTAGAAACAGAATGATGTGATCATTCAGAGAGACAGAGAAGGAACTTAGCAGAAAGATGCAAGCTGAACTTGTGGAGTGACTTACTTATTGGTGATCCTGACACGATGAGTGGGAAGATTCCAATAGTTAAGGGACTCCAAACGATAACACGGCGATGATGCAGCGGTGAAGTATCCAAGTTGAGGTTGGTGATTTCTGGTCTGAGTTGGTTCTGGGTTGGTCTGAAGCTTGAAGATCCTGAAAATGCGAACTCAGTATACTCTGAGATAATTTTCAGAGTTGGATTACATAATCACAACATGTACATGTGGTAGAGAGTTGGAATTCCAACTTGGTTGATATTTCACAAGGTACGGTGAAATATTACAAAGTCTATGAAGGAGAAGAGTAGTGTAAAAGTGTGTAGTGGTGACTAAGGTTGAAATCACATGAGGAATTCATTTCTGAAGTTAGAATGTAATGAGATCTTGCGATAAAAAAGTTACAGTAGGAACATAGCTGAAAAGGATGACTTAAGCAGTCTTTTGGCCAGCTTGGCTGGCTCTAAGGCTGACAAGACTATTCAGTCCAGTTCTGGAGTTGAAATCGTTTGATGGTTGCAATGATACCCCGGTGGAGATTCTCCATGTGATCCTTCTTGGAGTTGTGAAATATGTTTTCAATGATTTCATGAAGGGCCTCAACAAGACAAACTACAATAAACTTGAAGCATGCCTCCGGTCATTCAATACAGACTCCCTCAACATACCACACATCCAAGCCAGCTACATGATGACACACTACAAATCATTTTTTGGCAAAGATTACAGGACAATATTACAATTAGCGCCATTTGTCCTATTCCAATTCATGAATGAATCACAGAAGGAATTATGGGTTTCAATGTGCCATATGACAAGCCTAGCATTTCAGACACGCATTCCAGACCTGGAGCCATACTTACAGGAATTAGAAGCAGCCATCAGACAGTTCATATTTCACATAAGCAAGATGTCTGCTCGGTGGTCAAACAAGCCCAAATTGCATATGCTTCTGCACCTTCCCCAATCCATCCGACGCTTTGGCCCTGCTTCTTTGTTTGCAACTGAAAAATTCGAGAGCTACAACAGTATACTACGAACTGCTTCAATTCATTCAAATAGGCTTGCACCAAGCAGAGATTTGGCCATATCATTTGCCAACTATCAGATTATGAGGTTATTGTCATCTGATGTCTACATGTATGACCCTGACAGAAATGAATACTTCCAGGCCAGATCAAAAGTGACAGAAATTTTTGCAAACAATGTGATTGTCCAAAAGCAGTTGGGCTATAATTTGTCATCAATACATCCAACCTGCACATACCCATGCTTAAAGGATCCCAAGGTGCAAACATCTGATAAGGAAGAAATTCCACAATTGCTGAAAGAATACCACCCCAACCGCCGGATCAGACAAGTTTCCCAAGTCCGAATCAACTCCAAAGAAACCATTGAAAAGGGCACATTTTACTTGGTAAGTCTTCCTTCAAAATAGAAGCATTCAGGTAGAATGTCACCTGCTTTCCAGCAGATGGCTAAACCACATCACATTTCTAACTTTCTTGGTTGAACAGGAGGCCGGCACAGAAACATACGCAGACAGAATATGTTGTGTTGAATCACTGTGGGAAGTTCATCCTGGAGCCTATTACGTCCGACGTGTAGGATGTGCATTTTATGGCATTGATCCTGTCACCCGCATGGCCATTTTGAAGAAAATAGGTACTTCTATTGTTGTTTCTGTTCAAGTAAGCATTGTTTTCATACACCCCAAAACCCCCACAGATGAGATTGATATTTATATTCAACCAACCTCAAACAGCATATCAAAGCTTGTGTCAATGTGCAACACAATTGCCATGAAGGACAGTGTCAGCATGTTGAAGTACCAATGAAAGTGAACCCACGACATGAGGGTTCATCCATATTTCATCATATTCAACACACAAATCACAATAGCTATTTATTAAATGCATTCTCCCATCATGCTCCTGAATATCACCGCCAATACTCTGGTTTACGGCCCAGTGTGATATCTCATCACCAGATGATGCAAGCTTTACATGAGGGTCTGCAAAGATGGCAGTATGAAAAGTTTGATGACGACCTCAGTGATTAGGCTATTTCAGTGGTGCCATTCATATGTCACCTTTCATAACAGGATCTTCTTAGTGAAAAGAACATCAGCCAATTTAGTGACTAGAATTAAGTTCTCCTCAAAATAATAAAAGATTATTCACAATCATGTCCTATTGTTTTCTGATCAAATTAAAAGTGAACATGAAATCCAAGTAAAAAATAAATAGAAAAAAAGAAATAGATGTTTTTGTTGGCCTTTATTTTTGTGTTCATCTCACTTTATATTACCCTGAATCATCAGGAATCACTTGTTTTATTGGGATTTGGATTTCATCAAAATTATCTTAAGAAAAAGTAGTGCACATAGTCTGCTTGCTGCTCCCCAGGGATGGGATAGAGTACTCAAGTGGGCAAGAATCTGATTTCAGTGAAAAGTAATGCAAAACATCTCAATCTGCTGCCCCTCTGGCTTGCGCTGCCTGGGCCCCCCGCCCGGCCCCCGCTCACTCTGCCGGGTCATCAATCACATTCCACCTCGCTAAGTCCCCTGGAACCATCCAAGGACCAGAGCGATCTCACTTGACAATCAAGCAAGAAGCCCATCTCGAAGCGAGTCACCTATACCGACCAAATGGAAGAACAAGATGTTTCACCGGTAAGTCTAAACCATTTATGAATGTTATGAGCCCAAAAAAACGGCTGATGAAAATGAAATCATGTGATGATGTCAAGGCTGCAACTATCAACGACACGATCACCAATCGGCCATTCTTCATATTGTATAACGTTCTCGCGCGCATTTGGCAAGAGGCCAAGAAAGAGTTCCAATGCCAGAAACTCAAGTCCGATCACAATCAACATCCACAATCTGAACTACACGCGGCTCAAGCGACTCGTCATTGAACACATCCGTGAACAATCCCAACATCAATACCCGAAATACCCCATTGATGTCATAGCCGTCTACGCAGAGCACGAATCAGCCCTCAGATGGTATTATGCAGCTGTACCAAAGGCTTTGCCTGCACCGGTCGATTTTGTCCACAGAGCCCTCACCGAATCCAGTTTCGATGCTTTTATCAAGGAAGTAGAAGATGCACCGGCCGACTACAGGTTGTGGATTGAGATTCACATGTGTAGTCTCAACAAGATCGATAGACCGGAAGCAATCATCTCGGTCATGGTAAGTGGGCCAATAGCCATCTCGACTTCCCAAGAGGCTTACAATCTACTTTACAATCTACTTCCTTTCCAGGCTCCTGACCAAGAGGGACACCTTCATGCTGCTACAAGCCGGCGACTGTATGAAGGTGTTGCCCTTTTGGAGACATCCAACTGCTTGATTGACGACATCAATTACGTCCCAATCAAGAGGGACTCGGGAGGAAGCCATCAATCGCCTGCAAAGAAGCGAATCCGGAACGACGAGACGACATCCACCATGTTGTTAGGCGAATTCTTAGCATTGTGCAATATCCCAATCGACAACAAGCACGTTTCCGAAATGATCGACAAGCATGAAATCTTTGACTGGAAGGTTTTCATCGGCACGTCTCTTACCGAGTTGACTCAGCTCGGTTTCAAATGGGGGCCTGCTCGATCAATCTTGGCTGGGGTAGCCAAGGCTACCGAGTCCGGAGAGCCCAAAAAATGAGCATCATTTCACCTCACATCCAATTGTTTTCCTTATTTATTGATACTTGAAAATCAAATTAAAAAACCCCCCAAAAAAAAGAATGATTTTCATTTCATTGCAAAAAACTATATTTTCCTTGAGAGAAAATGCGTGATCGATCCATTTCATGGCAAAAGTGAGAATGCGCGATCGATGCACTTTTCATGCATACCTTAACCCAAAACATGATAAACACAAAGGAGAAAAAAAAACGGCCAGACCCAGCTTCCTGGCGACCAGAGCCCAAAGAGCCCTGTCCAATGCCTCTGACTTGAGGGCGCAGTGCAGTTCGGAAGACTTTCGAAAGATTTTCGAAAGATCTTACGAAATACTTGAGACTTCGAAATCCTTGTGAAAGTTTCGCAATACGTTTCGAAGTCGTTTTCACAACGATCTCTTTAAGGTTTTGATCCGGTACAATCCGCATGAGAAACCGGAAGTGTGACAGATCAAAATGTTACACCACGGGCTCACCCAAATGGCAGCTGGAGGTTTGCGGAGCCGTTTTTCTGATGGTTTCACCACCTGCAGTGGCAACCGTTGGAATCTGGTAATCATGTGTGTTTGGAAAACTGTTGGTCCAACCAAGCTGTTGGCCCACCGTTGGACAAGTGTTTTTCCGTTGGTTTACTCAAAAGACCCAAGGGGGTCTTCTCCCAGGCTACCCACCAGCAAAAGTAATGCACAGCAGCAGCAGCAGGACCATCGGCCACAGTAGTAACAACTGCCTGGTGGGCAGGGGGATACCCAGCCTGTTGCAATGGACATGAACAATCTGCAAGTCCCATACAACATTGTTAGCAGCATGAGCTAGTATGTTATTCATATACCAAGGCACAGCTGACCCGGGTTCAAGCCTGACCCTTGAACAAAGAAAAAGTAAAAAAATGACCAAGTCATTTTTGACTTTTTTTTTTTTTCTGGAACAATCTGCTTTGGGAGCTTGCCCTCAGTGGGTTCTCAGAAGACTGAATAACCATGTTTAAATAGTATTGGTTGGTCATTGGTTGACAAAGCAGGAGCCTAACAGTTGGCTTCAGTGCTGTGGTTTATGAAACCGGTTCACAGGAAATCGGTTGAACAACTGTTCAAACCACCAATTTTAAAATGGTTGAGTTTTTCCAACAGTTTTCTGGCATTTATCCAGTTGAAAAACTGGTCAAAAAGTGGAACTGTTGTGCAAATGGTCCTAATAAAAAAAAGTGGCCCGGTGGTGTAACCAGAAGACTTCAAAATGATTTCGAATTTTTTTCCACAACTTTTGTAAAAATTTCGAACTATTTACGAAAGCCGCTTCAAAATCAACAAGTCCATACATTTCGGACATCGTTCCGAAGCAAAACCTTAAAAGTGCCCCCGTAGTGTAGTGGAGGTGCAAGGCCAGGCTCCAATCAGTCCGGCTCTGAAGACAGGCTTTATCCTGAAAAAAGTGTCCATAGGGGGGGTTAACAAAACTGAACCTTTAGAGCCATAATTCTTATATGGTGTTTCTGGGCAACAATTTATAATTTTTTAATAACTTTTCAGATTTAGTGTTTCCTGAGCTTTCTATACATCCCAAAACAAAGTTAAGAAACCCTCAAAATGGCCCTTCAAATAAAGTTCAATCATGAACCCCCCCTAATGATTGGACGGAAGAGGGAAAAAGTGTATATCGCCGCTTGATGTCACCAATTTGCCCACAACTAGCAGAAACAATCGCAGCCAACAGTTCTGCTCATCTGAACCGAGTAGAGTCCCGGCTTCGGGGGTCGATCGGTGATGACGAGCTCCTCGGGCGCCGATCTCTGGCGAAGACTTTAATGCTAAAGATCGAGCTCCAGTGCTCGAGATCCAGACTTCAGTAAAACTCGGCTTACGTAACTCGCATGAAGAGGGATGTGATTTGCTCGAGGTGGGTCGTCCTCCAGTCTTGATTACGGTCTGCTGGGTGGTGGTGTGGTGGTGATAGCGAGGAATGAAATGGATGGAGGGAGGGAGTTAGGTGAGGTCGGGAGTGTTTCTATGGAGTGTGCTCGGTTGAAGCGGAGTGTTTTCCCCATTCGGATTGGTTGGATTGGATTGGGTGTAGATGAAGTGGGTCGGCCAGTTGTTTGTTGGGGTTCTTCTTCTTTCCATCCATCATCATCATCGACTGATTCCTTTGCTTGGTTTGTCCTAATATCTTGGGGCTTCAATCTCCCTCCCTCTCCCTCTCCCCTCCATCGACTTATTAACACCAGTATCCCTCTCAAATTATCCATTCGGCCAACAAGACATTCCGATTGGGTGTCCATCAGTGCTTTCCTCCTTGTCAGCTCTTCTAGAACAATTACATCATCAAGCTTGGGTTGCTACATACATAAACCTTTTTTGAGAAGCAAAAAAAGAAAAAAAAAAAGCAGCATAGCCTGAAGCTGAGAGATTCATTTTGCGAGCAGAGTTAGCGTAATGGACTCCAAGCCAGCCTCTTCCTCCTCCTCCAGCCGAGCACATCCATCCTCCAGGAAGACCTCGATCTCAGCTGACTCGAGACGCAGCTTGAGCATCAGCCCTACTAACTCAAGGACCACCCACCAGAAATCCCAGCTACCTCTCCCACTCAGAACTCAAGAGTCAAACATCCTCTCCCCCAGCTCCACCAAGTTCAGCCAACTCAAAGCATTCCATCGATCTGTCTCCTCCTCCTCAGCCGATCAACTTGCACAACGACCACCAAGAACGCTTTCCCGAAAACCCTCATCGACTAAGACCCTGCCCACCAAGAACAGCAACTGCAACTTCAAGAGCGCTCAGTCGACTCCTCCAACTCCAAACGGTCAACCGACTCATCAAAACCATCAAGGTCAATCTCTCCTTCCTCTTGACCATATATGTATTCATCTCCCCTTATTCTTATAACAAGAGCAACTATCGATTTAAATCACTAGCCCTATCAACAACCAACTCTTCAATATCTCCAGTGGAACAACCAACACCCCCCCTTGCATCCTCATCTTTCACTCACACATCCTCACCGAGGAAGCTCATCCACTTCACCACAGACTCGATCATACTTGCCATTATCAACATACACCTTCTCTTACAAACCCATCATCCCCAATTATCAAAATCTTAACCAATCCATCCTCAGTACAGAGCTCTGTACACATCTCATATTCCAGAGACAGGATCCCTATTGAATTCATCACACCCTGTACTCTCAGCAAACCTTTTTTTTTTTGGTTGACTGCCCCCCCCCCCCTTCAATCGCCTGCATCTTTTAACCTACCCTGGCATGTAAACTTAACCCTGTTCTAGTGATGATTTTTTTGGAATATTGACTTGATTGTATTACACACCCATCTTCCCCTTGACTCGTTTCCGTGCCCAGTGACCATGCTCAAGGAGCAACTCGCCAAACTTCAATCCGAACTACGAATCGCCCGGGGACAGGTCGCCACACTCGATAACCAACTCACTCGCTCAAAGACTCCACCAAGCAAAACACCCCCCTTTGGCTCCAGCCTCAGCTCCTCTCAACGCCTCCAACAACAACAACAACACCCCTCCTCACATTCAACTCAGCCCTCCCGGGCAGCTACCCCCTCACGCTCCCCCAAATCCAGGAAAAAGTCCAACTCGGCCTCAAAATCTCATTCACTTCGAAAGAGCTCGAGTAGCGCTAACAGTGAACAAACTGATGGTCTCAGCATCCGATTCATCTCCGGTCCAGGTATCCATTCCTCTCGCTCGCCTCAGCCCTCCTCAATCATGGACGACTCCAGCCTACCCATCAGTGACTCGGGCTACATCAAGGATCCAGACGGCGTCTGGGTCCCTCTCAACTCACCACCAGCCCACTCCCCCTCTCTGAACTTATCCAGCTCGGCTCGTTACAAGTCTCCCTCGCCCTCCGAAGCCCCGCGTGGTATCAGTAGAATTCCTATCAGCGCCGTCGCGCTCGGTAGAGTTCTTGCTGGTGACCCTCTCGTTCCCGATCATCAATCATTCCAAGCTGACATCGCAGAAGAGCAGGAACCAGCCGAAGACCACTGTGATAGTGTCCCTAGAAGTAAGCTCTTTTGTGGATAATAACAATAATATGGTTGTTCTAAATTCCCCTGCTCAGACTGATTGATTCTTTTTGTTTTTTTCTCCTTCGAAAATGATGATGACAACGTAGATAGTGAATATTCATCTGGTGCCTCCCTATCATCACCTCAAATAGACGATCAAAACACAACAGCAAGCACCGAACCACCAGGCAGTCATCCACCCGCCGTCTCTCGACAACCGCGTGGGAATCCGTTCTTTAGCTCAGGAGGGGGACGAGACCGAGGGGCGATGATCCACCAAAACTCGAATGCAGACCGGACCACCAACGGAGGGAACACGGGCAAGGTGATCACGACGCTCCAATCAGACCTACTGTATGCCCGGACGGCGCTGGACCAGTCCAAGTCGCAGCTCCGATTGAGCCAGCGGGCGGTGGAGAGTCTCAACCGACAGACGGAGGATCTCAAAGAATCCATGTCCCGGTTGCGACTGGAGAACGAGGGTCTGAGCAAGATGCTGAGTCGGAAGGAACGTACGGTCAGTGAGCTGATGGACCGGCTCAAGCGCTCCGAGGCCGAACTGAGCACACTCAAGCAGGAGAAGAAAGAACTGGACGTGAATTTCAAGAAGATCTCCAAGGAGACCGACGAGGTCGTCAAAGACTCTGTCCGGAGGAGAGATCGCGCCGAAACTCAGTACGAGGCCGTCCGCAGTGGCGTCAAGAGTCTCTCCGAAGGCTGGAAGAGAGACGTCACTACTCTCAAACAAGATATCTGTCGATTAGAAGAAAAACATCGCAAGGAGATGGAAGATAGTCGCTTGAAATACAACACTCGTCAGTTCATTTTTTTTTTCTATCGTTTCTATCCCAATATTCAATTTTATCTTATGATGCTCGTAACTTCTCACTGATTTTTCAATGAAACTGGGTTTTTTTTTTTGTTTTTCAGTGGCCAAATTACATGCCTCACGATCCGGAGCGCTCTCGAGGATCGAGACGGATCTGAACAATCTGCAGAGCTCGAAGGAAGGATTCATTGCGAAATATACGAGTGAACTGAGTGGCTTGCGGGCGCATCTAGAGGAAGAAGAGAAGAAATCGAGCGAGGGGTTGCAATTAGCTAAAGAGGTCTCCGACGAATGTGCCCGCTTTAAACGCATCCTGCGTAACCATTCTACTGGTTCTTCTTCTTCTTCTTCTGCTGCTGCTCCTGGACCCCCTCATCCTAAACTTAAACCTTAATCTTCCCCCCTTTTTTTTATCACCTCTCTCATGTGCCTTGAATGTGTGTATCTTTTTCTTTGTTTGATTCCTTTCTTACATACTTTTATTTATTCTGCCTCTCCTCTTTTCTCTTTTGTCCCCTCTCTCTCTCTCACTTTTTTTTTTCCTTTTCGACTTTCACCTTGATTTCCATCGTCCTTTTCTGATCTACTACTACATCGCTATCTCTGCCCACTCCACACGATCTTTGTTTTGTCTATCTAGTTCTCTCTCTCTCTCCCTCTCTCTCTCTTTCTCTTTCTATGTTTTCTTTTCTTTCTGATATGTCATTTATAGTCATAGTTAATTACACAGTCTTCTCATGGGGAGCTACAAATTGGGAAAACACACAAGATTATGAAGATCTAAGGAGAATGGTTCAAATAGAAGAACACTAGAAAAAAAAAACAAGTTTATGGGATACTGATAATGATTAATAGTGGTGATACATTTCATATGCAAATCTTTCCATTATTTTTTTTTGTGTGAATACATGTGCTCTGCTTTGGGTGAGCTCAATTGACTTTGGCCATCTCATCAGGGATCAGGGGTCCAAGCAAACAAATGTGAATGTATTTGTTTTACATTCATAGTAGAGATGGCCTTGGGGTACCTGGCACCGCTCTATCCTTGATGGTGCCTGCCAAGTGGAGCTGGATGCACATTATTAGGTGTAACTTGGGAGGTCTCCTCCTTGGCAAACTGGTGACAACCAATCAGGCTGCCATCTCCAGCAATCAGGCATCAAGGCCAAGTATTGCTGGTACCCATCATGAGACAGTGCCAGGCGAGGTACCTGGTGCCATTTTTTTGGCTATAAAAACAACCAGTACCCAGGGCCCATGTGAGCAGCTCTGATCCTGCATAGACTTGGATCAACACTGAAACAGAGGCGAGGTATCATCTCATATTGTCTTTATTTTGAGCCTGATACCTGGGATTTGTATTTCCTTGGTTGGTGAGAAAATCCACTGTCTCAGATTCATATTTACAAATGCAAAAAGAAAAATGTCTTCATGTTTTTTTTTTTTTTTCTTTTTGTTTGATACAGCCAAATATCATGTGTGTCAAAGACATTAGTGGTGGATCATCCCTTCGGAGACAATACAGCATACATGTCTCACTTTCCAAAGACAATGCGTGCGTATTGGCTCAGGAAAATGAGACAACACAAATACAGTATTTTTGGGAATTCCAATTCTGAGACGATACAAATAACAATGGTGAAACGATGTGATACAATGTGATAAATTGCCTCGCATCGGTATCGCATTGTTTTAGCGATGCAGGCTTAAACGATACTGATGCATCGCATTGGTCAAGCGATGCATCACAACCATATTGCATCGGTATCGCATCGCTTAACCGATGTGATGCATGTATTTATTGCCTGTATCAGACGCATTGGGTCAAAAGATGAATGAGCTACAAAAGCCCACTTGGCAAGCAAATGGCTTCCAAGTGGGCATGGGATTGATCTTTGAGCCTCACCTGGTGAGGGTGATGGGTGGTTTTGAGGGGCCGCTTAATTTGGTTGTATTGATCACCCTTGCGAGAAGTCCCTGAGATAATGTACGGTCAGCTTGGCCTAGAAAGAGCTAGAAGAGGACACTT